CACGCTGCACGTTTTTTCCTCCATTCTGCCAAGTGATGTCCAGGCACCAATCATTGATCTAAAAATTTAAATTTTTTGTAACTTTTAGCCACTTCATTTTTGAAGCTTTTGTTTCTTTTTTTACTCTCAATTGAATCTCACCAAGATTATTTGCAGATTCGATAAGGCCCCAAACCAACTCATGCCAGAATTCCTTATGCCCCTGTTTAGAACCTAAAGTTTGAGCAATTAGATATGAATTGACAATCGCTATATCAAGCAACCAAAAAAAAAGCAGCATCCAGTTTCGCCATGTTGTTTGTTGTGTATTGTAATAGGATCGTAATTGATTAGCAACATCCACGCCATTCATATTGTTATTGTAATCATCAGTTATTTTGGATATTTTCAATAATTTTTTTGATTCTGACCCAAATACTATACATACCTTCACTACATTCATACTTGTTTCTCTTGGTCGCCGCCTTATTCATTTGATTTTCTATTTTTTACCAACAAGACTATGGATTGTTGATAGCATTGTTACTGGCCTGTTATTTTGCCAAAAAACGGCTAGTATGCTATTTACTACAACTTCAGAGTGAACATCCCAATCAAGTTTGATATTTTTTTCTACCTTCAGTTCTTTGGGGAACCCTGAGGCCATTTTACAGACAGTTCCACAAGCTCCAACACAGATCTGCCAGAGATTTTGAAAAAGAGACACACTACTAAAATAATTATCCATGTACACATTGTACAGAACTTGATGATACGGAAGTTGCTCAACAAGGTGAAGGACTAAACACCCGATTTGACTAAGACTACGCACTTTTACTATGTCGTTTGGAGAAACACATGATGTCGGCAAGAAAGTATAAGTGTATCCTGATTTGCATAATGAGAAAACTTTAAAACCTCTGATGTGGGCTTGTTTTTAATTCGAACCGTGTGTATACTTCTGCCAGAAAACTGAACCATCATTTAATCCACCAATATGTTTGAACCTGGTACATAATGTTGTTTCGAAGTATCCTGAACGTATGAAAGCAATGGCTTCACTTTATCAAAATAATTAGTAATTATTGAGGAGAGAGGAGAAACGTGCAGATACCTTTTTATCTGCTCAAAGCATATGACAAATATTCACTTTGCAATATGGTGGATAAGAAGTTTCTCATTCTCATTCCAGTACTGGTTAAGAGAAGGTACTTTAAAAAGTCCATGGTAGATAACAAGAGCTATCCAAATAACAAGCTCTTTATAAATTATATCCTGCCAACCCCTATCAGAAACACCAGCATTCTTTGATGATGTATACAAATTCGTATTGACAACTATTGTGTCTAACATTGTACTTGTAAAAAAAAGAAAAAAAATCTACCACTTTGGAAACACCAAGCCAGAAGGTGGTGGTGGGAGTTTTTTTTGTGTGGTCTTTGCTGATTTACGTTTTATTTTGTAGACACTTTCAGTATCTATTTCATTCTGGTCTTCATTGTTTGACTCTGGGTCATTATTTAAAGAATGCTGGTGAAAAGTCAAAACCGGTTCAAATTCTTCTCCTTCTTCCTCATTACTATACTCCTCTACACTTTCAAAAGGAGACAAAAATGATGAATTCAAAGATGATGAGCCCGAAGATGACGAACTTGAAGATGCAAAGTTTGAAGATAATATATTAGCTTTTCGTTTGAAAGACATTACTGTAAGAATTTTTTTTTTTCATGTTTAATATCGATTATCAAGTTACTAATGCATGCATGTTCACTATCTTTGGATTAACATTGCATTATACATATGGAAGGTACTGTAAAAAGAAATTTATGGGTAACTAATCGATATATTAAGTCTCATTTAAGCTTAGTAAAGAGGAGTAATTAGGTAAAAACGGTGCAAAAAAATTTTTAGCAGGCAAATTTGTCTGTATTACGGTTTAAGAGATACCAATTTATTATATTATACCAATTTTATTAATAATTTTCTATTTTTAAATTAATTTAATTATTTTTAATTGATGATTCTCTAGTTAACTGAAAAATAAACATAGTAAAACATGACTTAGTTTACTATATAAATTTAATATAGGTTAAATCTAAAATTGCTTCAAGATAAACTTTTTTTATACTAAGTTAATTGATCTTGTCAATTAATTGAAAGTTATAGAACTCATCTTTGCAGTTTTAATGGTAGTTAAAGCGTTAAAATCAGCCTAGTGGGTGCCAAGATATCTTTAAAAAATATTTCTTTTACTATATAAACTTCTTTGCAAACAATAGTATTGTAGTAGTATTGTTTGCAAAGAAGTTTACATAGTAAAAGAAATGTTTTTTAAAGATATCTTAGCATTCACCAGGCCAATTTTGATGCTTTAACTACCATTAATACCACAAAGATAAGCTCTACAACTTTCAATTAATTGACAAGATTAATTAACTTAGTACAAAAAAAAGTTTACCTTGAAGCAATTTCAGATTTGACCTATATTAAATTTATATAGTAAACTGAATTATGTTCTACTATGTTTATTCTTCAGTTGACTGGAGAACTATCAATTAATTAATTTATTAATTGATGATTCTCCAGTCAACTGAAAATAAATATAATATAATATAACTCAGTTTATTATATAAATTTAATATAGGCTAAATCTGAAATTGCTTTAAGATAAACTTTTTTGTACTAAGTTAATCAATTTTGTCAATTAATTAAAAGTTGTAGAGCTTATTTTTGCAGTTTTAATGGTGGTTAAAATATCAAAATTGGCCTAGTGGGTGCCAAAATATCTTTAAAAAATATTTCTTTTACTATTTAAACTATTTGCAAAAAAGTTTACATAGTAAAATAAACATTTTTTAAAAATATCTTGACACCTACCAGGCTGATTTTGACACTTTAACCACTATTAAACCCACAAATATGAGCTTTACAACTTTCAATTAATTGACAAAATTGATTAACTTAGTACAAAAAAAGTTTACCTTGAAGCAATTTCAGATTCAGCTTATATTAGATTTATATAGTAAATTAAGTTATATTATACTATGTTTATTTTTTAGTTAACTGGAGAATCATCAATTAATAAATTTTTTTTTAAAATATATGTATTATATATGTGATTATGTAACCCTGATTTCACTATTTTCATAGAAATTCAAATTCCCATAAGTTACATAACTTCACTACTTGGTCAGAGTTCGAAACTCTATTTTGGCAGAGTTTAAAACTTCTCCAATTTTGCAGAAATGTGAAATCCAAAATTATGTGACTTCAGCACATAATTAGAGTTTCAATTGTTTCTTCTATTGCTCTTTTCCTCTTCTTTTCTCTCTTTTTACTTATTTACCTACTCCTACTCCCTTTTTCTATCTGTTTTACCCTTTTACGCTTACACTTTTCTTGTTAAAAAAATTGATTATTGTTTTTTTTTAACAGTTCTGTATTACTAATTTAAAAAGTAGCACTTTTGCCTGCTTTGCAAGCAAAAATGTTCCCTAAAAAACATAGTAACCGGAACTTTCTAATATTAAGAAAAGGATTTTGTTAAAGTTGTAATTAAAATTAAGTTTAGTAAAAACTATAAAAAATATATATTTGAACTGTTAGTGAAACAAACTGTCTATGAAATAAGCTGTCAATAAAAATAGTTCGTTTATAAAATAAGCTTGTTGATGAACTGAAGAGCCTGTCTATGAAGTAAAAATATAGCAACTATTGTGAGATTAGCTGACTTGATAATATATTTTAAATATTCAAATATAGCATGGAAATATAATAGCTAATAGATTTTAAAAAGTAGTCTAATGCAGAATCATGTGCTTTAGTTAACCAATCAGATTTATGACAAGCATTTGTAGCATAAAATATTTATAATTACACCTCTATATAATTACAATAATTGCCATGCCCAAAAGTATAATTATAGAGGAAAATACACAGAAAACTCAACAAAATTATTCTGCACAAGCCTACTTCTCTATATGGTTACAACAATTCATTATTTATAACCAAATCAACCAAATTAGCATAGCCTAAAGGTTTTGACCCTTCTAGCCAAGAATGGTCAAGAGTAAATTTTAGAAATAAATAGCTCTAACCTCTTATTCTCCTATAATTAAATATGTATTAATACTATGTAATTCAATTATATTTATAATAAAGAGAATAGAGGAAAGACCTCTTTTGAAAAAAAAAAAACTAGATACACCAAACATACTGGACATGCTTTCAAGCGAATTCCTAATTTTGAATGTAAATACAATCGCAGAATATATATCATTATCACTATATTACTAATTACATTCAAATCATATCACAAAAACTGATCGAATTGGACAAATACCATAAAAGTGCGAAATAACACTCTGGGGCATTAATTTGAAAATTAGATATCCCTACATGTAGCTTCAAATTAGCACCCATAGACGTCCCGAATTAACGCGCATCCTATAAATAAATATAAAAATAAAAATAAAGATAGATAAATACGTGTAAAATAAAAAGCGTTTCAGAACTGGGTTTGGTATTAAGTAAACCTATTTTTTAAAATTTAATGAAAGTTTTCTTCAGGAGAGACGACTCTAATGGCAGTAAAATCATCAAAAACAGTTCAATAGTTCGCCTCAACGGACAAACAAACGTCGCAAAACTTGAAGAGCCATTGCAGGGTACTGACCGTTTTATGATTTTAATACTGTTAGAATCGTCTAGATCTGAAGAACAACTTTTGTTACCGCCAAAAATATATTTACTTAATTCCAAACCCAGTTCCAGAGAACTTTTTATAAATAAATACTATTTATTATCGTATGGCCATGTTGTTACTGCCATACCAAATTTTGATCATATTTGTACGGTTGAGTTTTAAAATTCTTATTAAATAGGGCCGATAACATAATCAGATCTTCACTATTGAAATTTTCATTAAATAGAACAATAACATAATTATGATTTTATTTTCTAAACTTCTTAATCAATTGGGCCAGTCACTTAATTAGACGTTCACTTTTAAAATTCTTAATTTATGAAGTTAGTAATTTAAGTAGGTCGTCGCTTTTAAAATTCTCATTCACTGGGGCCAGTAATTTAAGTAGGTTATCATTTTTAAAATCCTCAATCACCGGGACTAGTAATTCAAGTAGTTCTCTGCTTTTAAAATTCTCAATCATTGGGTCATCGCTTTTAAAATTCTCAATCGTTGGGTCATCGCTTTTAAAATTCTCAATCATTGGGTCATCGCTTTTAAAATTCTCAATTGTTGGGTCATCGCTTTTAAAATTCTCAATCGTTAGGTCATCGCTTTTAAAATTCTCAATTGTTGGGTCATTGCTTTTAAAATTCTCAATCGTTGGGTCATCACTTTTAAAATTCTCAATTCTTGGGTCATCGCTTTTAAAATTCTTAATCGTTGGGTCATCGCTTTTAAAATTCTTAATCGTTGGGTCATCACTTTTAAATTCTCAATCACTGGAATCAGTAACTTAATGAGGTCATCGCTTTTAAAATTCTCAATTACCAGTACCAGTATTTAAGTAAATTTTCGCTTTTAAAATTCTTAATCATTGGAGTTAGTAGCTTAAGTAGGTCTTCACTTTTAAAACTCTCAATCACTGAAGCTAAGTAGATTTTTACTTTTACAATTCTTAATTGTCGGGGCCAGTTAAAATTCACAATTAATAGAGCTAAGTAGGTATTTGTTTTTAAAATTCTAATTAAAAGAATTTAAGAGTTACATGCAATTTACAAATAAAATTCAAGCATGTTAATGTTTGTGAAAATGAATTGTGACTGAGGAATTAATAAATATAGCACCACGAATGAGTTCATTAAGTCCTTGAATAGATTCATCCTGTGATAAATTAATTTGTACTGATTCATTATGTAATTGTTTTCTTTGAGTTGATTCATTAAAAGTAGATGATTCTAAACAAGTAAAGAAAATTAATAAAAATTATTTTATTAATACAAAAAATTATAACAAAAAACTTATTCTATAAAATTTTTAACCTTGATATAACGATGATGCCGATACGAAGCCTGATAATTTATGTGTATTTGGAGCAGTAGCTGTAGATGATTCAAAAAAAATAAATAAATAAAATAAATAAAAAGTCATGAATATTAAAAAAAAAAAAAAATTTACAACTATTTGTTTCATAATTAATCGCCTTATCTAAAGCTTGATATCCAAGTTCTTGTACATGTTTAATCGGACGTTCATAAGATGCCAATCCTTTTTGCGATTTATGACGCGAAATTGACATTGTTTCATAATCAGATAATCCAAGTGCTTTTAAAGTTTGAATTAAGGTTTTGTGCCCAGTTTGATTAGTAATCTTACGACCAGAAATGTCAATATCACATGACATTACTAATCGTTTAAAGAATGCCTTC